CTGCCAGCACCGACGCTGTGTCGGGCGGGGGCGTGGGGGGGTCCCCATGCACCCCGAGCGACCGCGGCAAGTCGCAAGTGCCCGAGCCCGCAGCACCGCGCGAAGGCACAGCGGCGGCGGGTGGAGGAGTAGCCTGGCAAGCAGCCGCAACGAGAACCCCCCGTGAAACAGCGGCATCGGCGGCTGACGCCATCGCATATGTCCTCATGTGGGGCGGCAGGGCTGACAAGGATGAGGCTGGATCCCCGAATAGCCCGAGCGAGTGCAACAAATCGCGGGCGCCCGCACGCGGGGATGGACCACTGGCGGCGGGCGCGCCGACACCACCCACGAGGCTGGTAGGCGGTGGGAGCCCTCCGAAATCACCATACCAACCCAAGTCACGGGCAGCGCACGCCCAAAGTGAGGCGGGATCAACAGCGTTACGGTGGAGCGACGGGAGCGCCTCTGGGTCGGCGAGACCTGGCGGCGGCCCCGCCCGCCCGGCTTGGAAGGGCGATCCACCACCGACGAGAAACGACTCCGCGGGCGTGCACGGACTGATCGCAGGCGGCACCCGAGCGCCGGCCTCCATGCCGGAGAAACGCGGAAGCGATTCCACACGCCACACATCCGGCTCCAACGGCGCGACCAAACCGGGTGGCGGACGAGGAGGCAACCCCGTCGGAACCCGTGGCGACGGCGGCCTTCGCTCGGCAGCCGATGGAGGGCCAAGGCCCGGAGGGGGGCCGATACCCAATTCGGCGAGGCCTGGGGGCGGCAGGGGACGCCTGCCCTGCAGCGTCGGCGGCGGGAGGGTGCAGATAAGGGGCACACCGCGCTGAACGTCAAAGGCGCTCGCCAACAAAGCGGGTGGCTCAGCTGATGACGCGTCCCACCAGGACGAGGACAGGCCCGCCGCGTCGGTGCCTGGAACCCGGAAGGCCGCGCGAAGCGGCCACTCGGTGCCCGCTGAGCAAGCGGGGCCCCGGTCGAGCCATGGCGTTGTGAGGGGGGGAGGGGAGTGAGTGAGGAGGTGGAGGTTAGCAGGACTCTCCTCCTCCCATTCCCCCGTCCCCAAGGCGGTTCCCTTCGCGCGCTCTGCCTCCTCGCCCGCGGTTCGGCGGGCGTGAGGCTGGCTCAGAGTTGCAGTGGGCTGCGGGCGGTGCGTACTGCGCGGCGGTGGCTGGTGGGGCGCGAGCAGTAGACCGTTCCTCCCTCTGGCGGCTTGTTCTTCGCTGCGGAGACCCAGGTCTTCAGCCTCCTCGTACCCCTCCTCGTCCTCGTCGTTTCCCCCCGCCTCGATGGAAGAAGAAGAGGGAGGCGAGGGGAGGAAAGGCGGGAGCTTTTGGGTTCGCGTCGCTGAGGCAGCGCTCCGCTGAGCAGTCTCGTTGCGAGAGCGCCTGCCGGCGAGCGGTCGCGCGGCAGCAGCTGTAGCAAAGGAGCGTAGGTCGGGCCAGATGGGACCTCCGCCGACAAGCGGATGCGCCATCCAGGCGGCCAGAAGGGAGAGGAAGAGCAGAGCGCGCGCGAGCGAGCGCGAGCGAGCGAAGCTCGCGCGGAACGGCTCAGGAGGACCGTCCGAGGGGCTCGGCCCCGCGAGGCGGTGAGGGCCGCCTCGAGCTGAGCGCGGCGCGCTGAGCGGGCGCCGACGAAGGCACCG